CAACGTTCAAGGTGAAAGGGCAAATCTACCACAGACTTGGGTCAATCCTTCCCCGGCAGGCGAAGAGCACAGGTTCTTGCAAATTTATTTCATGGGTGACAGCGAGCGAGAAACTAGCAGGCGGTGCGAAGTTATTCACAACCTCCACCACGTCACTGTTGCTGACCTGCAGGCGATGCTCCATGCGCACAATCCGCACATCGTCAACATCAAGACGGCATTGGATGTTGGCAATGTCCCAGACTTGCGACTGAAGACGCAGTGAAGTTGAGCGCAGACCGAGCACCACAAGGTGAACACACCCACGGTCAATGAAGTTGCCGTTCTGATAGCAGGCCATGCACACTGAGCACGCAAAGCGTGCGAATCGTGTAGCCACCACCACGTGCTGAGCACGCGAAGCGTGCGAACAGTGTAGCTAGCAGACACATGCATGCACTACTGTGGCTCCAGCATTCAATTCCATCTGCTGATGTGGATGATGTTGTTCGTGCGGAAATTCCCTCGGCGGAGGATGACCCTGTCCTCCATGACTTGGTCAAAAAGCATATGAACCATGGACCTTGCGGTGCACTAATCACAAGCGCGCCATGCATGAAAGATGGGAAGTGCAGCAAAGGGTACCCCAAACCAATGGTGAAACACACCCAGACGGACAGGGATGGATACCCTCTTTACCGCAGGCGCTCCGGGGAAGATGGCGGGTCATTCACGGTGTTGAAAATTAGAAATGAAGAAGTCGAAGTCGACAACAGATCGGTTGTGCCTTACAACCCAGTCCTCCTTCGATTGTTCAGTGCGCACATCAATGTGGAGGTGTGCAACTCTGTAAAGGCCATCAAGTACATCACAAAGTACATCAACAAAGGTTCGGATCAGGCAGTCTTCGGTGTCCAGAATGAGAACGATGAGGTCAGCAGGTACCAGACAGGTCGGTATGTTTCCAGTAGCGAGGCAGTCTGGCGCATTTTTGGCTTCCCGATTCATGGCAGGTATCCAACAGTCACCCACCTTGCGGTTCACTTGGAGAATGGCCAGCGAGTCTACTTCACAGAAGAGACCGCCCATGCGGTAAGTGAGAGTCCGCCAGAGACTACTCTCACTGCTTTCTTCAAGCTTTGTGCCACTGATGCCTTCGCGAGAACTCTTCTGTACAACAGCGTGCCTTCCTACTTCGTGTGGGATGCCCAACGGAAGAAATTCAAGAGACGCAAAGTCGGCACTCTTGTCCCAGGCTACGAGGGGGTCAGGAAAAGTGATGCTCTCGGCCGAGTGTACGCTGTGCACCCAAGGCAGGCAGAGTGCTATTACTTGCGACTCCTTCTGCACACTGTTCACGGGCCGACTTCGTTCGATGATGTCAGGACAGTAGATGACCAAGTTTGCGAAACGTACAGGCAAGCCAGTCAGCTTCGGGGTCTGCTGCAGGACGACGAGCATTGGCTCAGTGCCTTGCTTCAGGCTGCCGAGTCCAGCCATCCAGCTGCGATCAGGCACCTCTTTTCCATCATGATGTCCTTCTGAGAAGTTAGTGATCCTTTGCGACTATGGAATGAATACCGTGAGGCAATGTCAGAAGATTACTTGCAGGCGGCGCGTCGACAGGAAGGGAATGAGGCGCGAACATTTTCTCAGATGGAGTTCGATCAGTGCCTTTGCGCCATCCAGACACACCTTCTCACCATGTGCGGTAGAACCTTGGTAAGTGCAGGCCTTCCAGACCCATCACAGGCAAGTTCAACTCTGTCCGACCAGCCTCTTGCAAGGGAGACCAACTACGACCGTGCCGCGTTGCTTGAGCAAGTACGACAACAAGAACCGACACTAACCGACGATCAACGTTCGGCGTATGACGCAATTTGTGACCAGGTACAGGCAAGTGACGGTGGGTTGATTTTCCTCGACGCACCCGGTGGTACAGGTAAGACGTACGTCACAAACGTACTTCTTGCAAAGGTTAGATCAGGTGGACACGTTGCCTTGGCTGTTGCCTCTTCCGGAATAACAGCCACAATCTTGGCTGGTGGTCTGACTGCTCACTCCACGTTCGCTTTGCCCTTAGATCTGCACCGCCTTGAGGAGCCAACCTGCTCGATCGCCAAAGATTCTGAGAAAGCAGCGCTCCTTCGTGAGGCTGTGCTGATCGTGTGGGACGAATGCACGATGTCATACAAGCATGCTTTCGAGGCTGTCGACAGGACTTTGCGAGACCTGCGCAGCTCTAATTCCTTGATGGGTGGTGTGACGGTTGTGATGTCCGGTGACTTTCGCCAAACGTTGCCTATTGTTCCTAGAGGCACTTCTGCTGATGAGATCAATGCCTGCATCAAGTCTTCGGCATTCTGGCGTTCCGTGGTGAAGTACACACTTACCACAAACATGCGAGTTCTGCGTAGCAGTGATACCAATGCGGGTCAATTCTCTGCGCAGCTCCTTAAAGTCGGCAACGGTGCAATACCCGTTCTGCCTTCAGGCAAAATTGCGGTTCCGAGTGATCTCGCACAGATTGCTGCTTCCCAAGAAGACATTGTACGAATAATCTACCCTGATGTCGCGGACAATTTTTCGATCCCACTTGGTTGAAAGAAAGAGCTATCCTTGCACCTTTGAATGACACTGTCACTGACATGAATGGGATACTCATGCACAAACTGCCAGGTGACTTGGTCCAGTACGAGTCTGTTGACACTGTCGAAGATGACGACTCTGGTGATTACCCTGTTGAATTCCTGAACTCCTGTAACCCCTCAGGCTTACCAAGTCACCTGCTTCACCTCAAAGTGGGTGTGCCGGTCATGCTTCTCAGGAACCTGGATGCGCCGAAGTTGTGCAATGGCACAAGATTAATTGTGAAGCGCATCCAGCGACATGTAATTGAAGCTGAGATTTTGACTGGGTCGGGTGCAGGAGAACCGGTGTACATACTGAAAATACCCACGACATCCACCAATCTGCCATTCCAACTTCGACGTGTCCAGTTCCCACTCCATGTCTGCTTTTGCATGACCTTAAACAAGTCCCAAGGGCAGTCCCTGAAGGTTGTTGGTTTGGACCTAACAACACCATGCTTTGGGGGAGGGGGGAGGGGAGGGGGAGTCTCCATAACCATTGTATTTGTCCCTGTAAGATCTCTGTTACCTGCAGCTTCCTCTGATCCAACTGCCTACCGAACCTCCTTCCCTTGCGTCTCCAGTGACCTATGGCTTCCTTGCATTGGGTTTCCACTTTGCCTTTGTTCTGCCTCTTCTGGGGTCTCTTGAGGCCACGCTTTAGCAGTTTCGTGCAGGGCATGGTGTCTCCTGCCTTGAATTTTTTTGGTGTCTCCTGCGGGTGTGCCGCAGTACTTTGCCGACGATTTGTTGTCATGGCTGACTAATCCCAATAACTGAGAACTCTATACGTGATTCCATTCACTCACCATGCTGCGCATAACTGTTCGCATTATTGTTCGAGGATGAAGCATCCCATCATCCCATATGCTGAACACAAGTACACTCTCTATGTCCAAGCTGCCACATGTACATGTACGTACATGTCTCAACATGCCTAAGGCACAATTTCCCAATAATTGGATGAGCCTTCACTATTGTAAATCTCAGTTCTATAACTGCTGATAAACAGCTACCCGGTCATGCGGTGTTACACAGCAATGTGCTGTTCATGTACTTGCTTCACCCGCATGCTACGTTCGGCCAGGCAACGCTGGCCGTGTGCTGCTATATATCATAAACGTGTGTTGAAAATTATTTTTCGTAAACCCTCTCTTTTCCCCTCTACTGATCTATACAGTTTGGCCTCCACCAGCCCCAACTCTATCCTGTCGCAGAGACAGTCATGCGTTCTGGTCCATCGTATTAAACTGAACATTGTCCCTGAACATCTCACCAAGTATAATTGGTTTACTTTCGCACGGGACACTCGCAATGGCATAGTACTTCCCAGAGCTTTGTCAACTATGTTTACCAACTCTCCTATCTTCTCTGCATACTCGTATTGGCGCAAGCTGTCCATGGAAATGAAGACAATATCCAATATTAGACAGTTCATAGACCATGTTAAATGTCATGCCACGTTGTAGGCTCGCTCGCCTCTTTTGCTAGCTTATCTCGCCGCTCTTCACCATGGTCAACAAAGTGATACATTTCACCCCGCTGATGGATTATTTTCTTCCGATTATCATCTTCTTTCCTTCATTTTTTTCTTCTCTTGCCATGGCTGGCTAACGCCCCCTCCTTTCCATTGGCTTTTGCCATTGGACGGTGAAATAAATAAAATACGATAATGAAGGAGAGAAATGAGAACAGAAATTAGAACTAGAGAGAGAAAGTAAATGAGAACAAGAATGAGAACAAGAATGGGAACTAGAATGAGAACAAGTATGAGAACAAGAATTGGAACTATAATGAGAACAAGAATAGGAACTATAATGAGAACAAGAATGGAAACTATAATGAGAACAAGAAAGACAAGATGAATCATAGCAAGAATATCGACAAGAAAGAGGAAAAAATTGGGCACATTAGTGAGAAGCATCAAGGAAGAGAAAAAGTTCGAGAAAATGAGTGAGACCAAGTTTGTAAACAAAAATGGGACAGTACAAAATCATAACACTTATGATAGCAAGGATTTTCTCTGCATAGTAATCTTGGCTTACCTTTCTGGACACAGATTAAGGTCATGTCCGGGACCAACATGACAACTGAAGTTGTGAGAGGCTGCTGCCGGAGCGACATTGCTCAACAAAGAGAATCCTGTTGACTTCTATCGACAAGACATCTCCACAACAACAACAACAACAACAACAGCAGCAACAGCAACAGCAACAACAACAGCAACAAAAGCGCTCAGAGCCGGCACTCAGAGTTTGTTGTTTGTTTGTTTTCTTTATTTGAATTCGCTAAAACCAAACGGACAGAACTGTCCAGTGACAAGGGAGCGAATGATGAGCGTCATAATCACTATGCATCAAAACATCTCAGGACAAAATGAGACAGACTATA